TGCCATTGAAAGACGTAAGTGAGAACATCGAAGCCTACAGACACGCAATATGCACACTGCACGACGCGGTGCCCTGTTCAGTGGCGCTACTCCCGCGGAACGGACTCCCGTAGCGAAAGGAAAAGTTGTTTCGGTCGGCATCAGGCGAACTCCTGTCCTTCTAAGGGTCGCTGTTCCAGCAGCATGAATGAAGTCGACAAAATTCTCATCCGGTGTATAAATTCTTCCTTACCGACATAATATTTTAAATACGAGGGGAGTAGAAGAAGGTAATACGTTAGTCAGTAAAACAGTGTCACGTGTGGTGCTACGCACTGGAGGAAAGATGGAAGACGGACAGAGGCTATTGAGGGAGCCAGTCGCAACCTATCAGTCGCGAATTCGCGCTTAACGTGATAACAGTTAGAGAGACTGTCTTCTTGCGCGAGATTCTTACAATTTTTCACTGATTTTTAATTCTATAAACACACACATGTAAGAAGGAACAATTTAATCGTTTTTACTTTACACGGGAAAAATAAAACCGAAAGAAATAGTAAGAAAAAAAGAAAAAGTAGTAACAGAATAAGAATAAGAATCTAAAAGAAGTTAAAAAAGAGTGAATGGAAAATTGTGTGCTACCAAGTCTCAAGTCGACGGAAGCGATTTATTCTCTCGCCGACGACACGGAAACACGTTTCCTTTAAAAAAATTCGTTCGCTAATTCAACGTTAACACGAAAAATTTATATCTATCGTTTGGAATACAAGAATACACAAAGTAGCAGTGTATCTAGATAAGAGGGAAAGAGAGAAAGAAAGAAAGATAGAAAGAAAGATAAAAAAAAAGATAGAATCGTCGAAACTCTTTGATTTTCGGAATAGAGTTCTGATTGACGATAGATCGATTTAATGGTGATGATAAAAAGACGATAAGTGAGGGAGAAGACAGAGAATCCTTCGACGATTTTAAATAGCGTTCGATAAGTCAACCACGAAGATCACTTTTTCTCTCTCTCGCTCTTTCGCTCTCTTTCTCTCTGTCTCTCTCTTGAGCCTCTTCCCTCCCCATCTCGCTGTCTCAACCCCCCTTTCTTGGCACTACGAGAGTGGTGTACTCGTGGGACTACGTTGAAAATCGCTCGGTGTCATTGATTGACAGAACCAGTTTTGTTCAGCTCGCAAATCTCGGCGTTTATACAAAGGTCGTGTGTGCTCACTCGTGAGAGAGCGGTAGGAGTGAAATTTATGAAAAACGAATTTACACGAGGTCACACCCACGGGAGCGGCTCTCTTTCGCTCGCTTTCTCTTCCTTCCTTCCTCCCTTTCTTACTCCCTCCCTCCTTATAGCTATTGACTATCTGCCATCAGAGACGGAGGTGTTTTTGCGCAGAAAATGGAGTTTTAACGCATTTAAACAAACAGGCGATAACGTTCGGAAATTCGAGACGAATTATTCCGGACAGAGGAACTGACTTCACGTTCACGGAATTTCAAAAGTATTGTGCGCATGAAAGAATCGAACATCCGCTTATCGTCACCAAAGTGCCGAGGGGAAACGGCCAAGTCGAACGAGTAAACAGAACGCTGATCCCGCTTTTGACAAAGATATCAGCACCGCAGCCGGGTGATTGGTATCGATACTTGGGATCCGCACAGAGGTACTTAAACGCAACTCCTCATCGTAGCATAAACACTACGCCTTTTCAACTGTTTTTCGGAACGCAAATGAAATCAAAGGATGATCCACAAATTCAAGAATTGCTCGAGCAAGAGTGGGCGACGATGTTTGAAGAGGAACGAAACGAAGCACGAATAAAAATAGACGTGTATCGTAAGTCAAAATAAATATCAGACAACCATTACAGAGTTAATTTCAAATTACAAACCAGAGAGAAAACGAAAGAAATCCCGGTTCAGATGTGGATCGTAGTTAAAGATACAGAGCCTGTTTATCAAAGAGCGAGGCGATTATCGCCATCAGAGAGAGATATTTTAAACAAACAAGTTCAGGAATGGATTGATGCTGGTATCGTTCGCCCATTCATATTTGAATATGCAAGTCCAGTTGTGTTGGTTAAAAAGAATCTGAGACACGTTGATGCGTTGAGCCGAAATCCGTTGGATACATGTATGATTGTTAATAGTGTGACGGAGGTCTGACTCATCGTTTCAGAAAAGCGCAGCAAGAGGACAATAACTAAAAGAGAATTATGAGTCTTGCAGAGGATAATAAGATGAAAAATTATGTGATTCGAGGAGGTCTGTTATTTAAAGATTGTGATGTTGATATAAAGTTAGTGGTACCGAAGTCAATGGCGCGGCAAGTGATTCGTAGTGCACATGAAAATGGACATTTTTCTACGGCTAAAACAGCGGCGATAATTAATAGAGATTATTGGATACCAGATGCGAGAGTGATCATAGAGAAGATAGTCAGAAATTGTATTACGTGTATTCTAGCGGAGAGGAAGTACGGAAGAGCTAAAGGTCATCTGCAACCATTAGATAAAGGCAAGGTGACACTCGACAGGTACCACATTGACCATTTAGGGCCCTTGTTTTCTATGAGGAAAAATTACTAACACATTTTAGTAGTTGTTGATGCATTTTTAAAGTTTGTCTAGTTGTATGCTGCATAAAATACTTGCACATCAGAAGTAATTTCAAGACTTCAAAAACAATCTGTCATATTTGGAAATTCTAGAAGTATTATAACGGACCGAGGGACAGCGTTTACGTCAATTGAATTCGAGAATTACTGCAAAGAAGAAAATATTCGTCATGTACTAATGATCACTGGAATACCACGTGCAAAAGGCCAAGTAGAGAGGGTGAATAGAACACTAATACCAATTTTAACGAAATTGTCTTCACCTAAGAAAGATGAGTGGTTTAAGCATCTGAAAAGAGTACAAAAATATATTAATAATATAACCCACCGGAGCGTTGGAACTTCTCCGTCACGATTACTATTCGGAGTCGATATTAGAAGCAAAGATCCGGAGATAATGAAATTGTTGGAGGAAGAGTGGACATCAGTGTTTCAAGAAAACTGAGATAAGCTAGAAACAGAAGCTGCAGAAGCCATTACCAGAGTGCAAGAAGAAAATCGTCGTAACTATAATAGAAAGAGAACTCATGCAACGAGCTATCAGGAGGGAGACTTAGTCGCGATTAAGCGTATACAACAAGCTCCAGGATTAAAATTCGCTAATAAGTATTTAGGACCGTATGTCGTAGTAAAAAATTTTCGTAATCAAAGATATATTGTTCAGAAGGCGGGAGAGGTGGAAGGTGGTCCAGCTCAGACCTCCACAGCGGCGGAATTTTAGAAACCGTGGTCAAGTGAAGAAGGGTCTTCTAGCGATAAAGAGTGTGACATTCGAGGACAAATAAAAAGCAGAATGAAAGAGTGTGGGAATATAAGAGTAAAAGTAAGAAACTAAGAAAGAACATGCTTGTAGCGTACGTGATCTTAAGCACGTTGATCATGAAATCCGTTGCTACCCGCGATGGTGCGAAGTGGGGATTTCAAACGAAAAGGTAGTTTAAGGTGAAATACGCCAGAAGGAAAAATCAACAAATAGATATTTCTAGAATATGACAAAGATTTTTTTTAAATCAACAGAGCTATTTCTAAAATAAGTAAAGATGTTTTTCTAATAGGTAAAGCTACAGGAAATGTTGTCCCCTGTTGTTATGGTATGAAGGAATATGTGTGCATGCGTGTGAGCGTGTTTAGCGTTGATGAAGAAATAAGTAATATAAGACAAAAGTGACTATATATATGGGAGAGAGTGTGTATGTGTGTGTATGCAATAAACAGCGAGATACAGAAAAGATTTTTGGTTAGTCAAGTAAGAAAAAAGAGTCGAGTAAGAAAAAGCATCAGAGTAAAGAGTAGAAAGAGAGTTTAAGTTAAGATCATATATGAATTAATAAAGTTTGATTTTTTTGATTAGGAAAATTACACACTTTTGGCACCAGGCCTTTATTTCCCCCACACTAGTATAAATTTTTTAAATATTTAAATCACATAGGTTTACAAATAAAATAATGTTAATTAAAAAAATCAAAGCAAGTGTTTTATTCCGCGTCAGAATCTATACTATTATAAATATATCTGACCGCGTATAAAAATATGACAAAATAGAGTGGCGTTACAAAAAGTGAGGCCAAAAATGACCTAAGGAATCGTAAGGATAAAAAAAATTAAGGAATAAGCAGGAAGCAGTGTTTCGTTTCTCCTATGAATGTATATATAGATATAAGAACAAAAGAGATTTAAAGACGTAGATAATCGCTATTGGAAGTGCGCATATAGATATTTTTAGAATAACTAAAGACGATTTTCTTGGAAGTAAAACTACAGGCAATGTTGTTCTTTCTTTTGACACGTTCGATAGTGTTAGTATGAGTGTATGGAAAAGTATGTGTGCGTACTTATGGCATACGTGACCGAAAACAGAGCGAACATTCACGATCGATTGTCACCTGCGATGAAGCGGAGTAGGGATTTAAAAAAAAGAGAAGGTTAAGGAGAAGAAAGACTCCAAAAAAAAATAGCAATAGACGATAAATGTAGACGATAAACGATAGAAGGATAAGAAGGTAGTTAAAGCAGGAAATTGGTTAGAAGTCTATCACAATGTTAATTGCGTACATTTTGTTTTCAGGTTTCTTCGACTTAATCGGTGATTTATGGAATTAAAAATAAATTTTCTTGTTACATTACCGAGGTAAGGAAGTCTCGTATGTTCTCCTTACAAATGGAAAACAATTAATGTCGCCATTCCGAGAGCGTATAGATCAGTTGGTTATTATAGCCATTACATCGGTAGCTCTGTATCGCGTACCTTATCAAGCTGTACAGCATTTTGTTATTTCAAAAATCGCGTTTCAATCTGTAAGGAAAAAAGTTTTTTAAAAATTAATTATATTTTCAGTATTTTTCATGATAATTTATAATAAGAATTATTAATATATTCATTGGGCCCTAATTCTAAAATAGTAGCAAAATGACGAGCATAGAATTAAAGAAAATGGAAGTCAAAGTAAATTGTTGATTGATAATTTATTGAATGCACTAAATTATACTATAGACGAAAACGAATTTAGTGAATATAGTGACATTTATTAAGTAACTGACGTTATTAACCATAAAATAGCACCCAAAAATAAGCGGGTCCAAAAAAACAGAGCGCCGTACGTAATGTGTTAAGAATTTAAGTAAGATTCTTACCATTTTCTGTAGTAGCTCGTAAAATTAGGCTCTCTGGCACACCTTCAATCAATAATAATAAAATTACACAAATCGTGAGAAAAAGAAATAATTTTACTAAAATATAATCTCTTAAATACGATTATCTTGAAATTCATTCTTTCACGTTAACGATCAATCATAATGCAAAATTCACTTATTTTATGAAAAGCAGATACATATTTATTAACGAAAAATAGAACTACCAGATGCAAAAGGACAAACGAAAGTGACTCGCTTTGTTTCGTGATCTTATTTGTAAACCTATTTATTCTGCCCCCACTTCTATAGCCAGTTATTTCTTTTCTACAACGAATCAGTTTTTAGGATAGACGAACTTCGTTCCTCATTGGATAGTCATATCGACGCCCACGAGGCTCATTGGCTTAGGAAATTAACACATCTTACGCAGGAAGCGACTAAAGTCGTTCTGCACATACCAGCTTTTGCGTTGTGTGGGGGCGGGGTGTATTTGATTTTGAATATAATTTTTTGATGAGACTCTAGGAAAACATGTTTGATTTGATTTATTTTAATTTAACTTAGAACGTTAAATTTGAAATGAGCCTTGCTAAGGTCTTCAATGTTTATAATTCGACAAGATTAATAAACAAGTTCAATAACAAGATCTTTGTTTCAATATTTTGAAAATATTATTTTCTCTAAATGTCAAGTCAGTTTTTCTGTTTCCTAATTTAGCTCAATCCAATTTAAACTATATTAATTCCTGCTATTCTAAATTTCTTCTAACAAAATATACATAGATGATTTCTTATCGTCAAAAGACTTTAATCAATAACGGTCTATTAAAAATATTGTAAATACTTTTTAAAATGCTAATTTAATTACCCTAAAAGTTTTTAAAAGACCAATTGCTGAAGCCAAAAAAGTATTTGGACAGATAATTTTTAAGCCTTTAATATTTAGTAGGACCACTTTCAGCACAAATAACATCTTGTAAGCGATTATGCATACTCTTTACAAAATTTTCCGTAATACTTGGTGATATGGAACTCCATACTTCGAGTATTTTGTCTTTTAAAATTGTTTTTGATGTTATATTAAATTTTTGTAATTCTTTTCCTATTATTGCCCACAGATGTTCAATCGGATTAATATCAGGGTGCTTTATCGTGGTGTTAATATTAAATGTAAATAGATCTACGATATACTACATTATTAAAGAATTGAATGCTGAAGGAATTATTAAAAAAATACCGTTCAAGTCGACCAAAGAAGTTAACTGAACGAGAAGAAAGAGTTTTGATCTGTGAAATAAAAAACTAGTGTGTAGACTTATGTACGCAAGTAAGAAGTAATACTTCTTTTGCGTCACAAAACATTTTTTTCGCAGCCTATAAGTATTAAAACATTCCGCGTTTGTTTGTAATGGATACTTTCTTTTAGATACATTTTTATAACGATAGTAATAGTTAACATTTTTATAACGATAGTAATACTTCTCTGTAATAGTTATAAAAATCTCGAAAAGTAAAACAAGAATTTAAATGTATACTGATATTGGTGAAAAAGCTGCAAGAGATTATAGTTTAATAAGAATTATTATAGAAAATAATTCATGAATAACTAGTATGCATTCATCTTTCAATTCTTTTGATAGAATATTAATGCGCATAGTTTCTTCTCAGAGTGAATAAAAAGAAGACGGTGTCTTCCAAAATCTTTCATGATTTCAGTGTCATCTGCTTCTTCTTATCATTGTTGAAAATAATGCGCTCTCTCTTCCAGTAAAATGATTGATCATGTATACTGAGAGAATAAGTTTTCAAATGTTTTGAATAAATATTTTTCAAGAGAAATATAATATTTGTTTCTTACAGAAGCACGATGATTATTTTCACCTTTCAACATATGCATGTCTTGCCTTTTCCTTGTAACTGTAGTTGAATTCTATTCGCATAATAATTCACATGAAATCTTTGCGGAGGGGACATTAGTAAAAAGAAATATTTATATCGTTAACTATTGGAAAATGAAATTTATATGCACAGATCCGATGTTGGAAAGGAGTCTTTTYCTTGGTTATGTATCTTAGTCTTTGATTCGAATAAAAAATATAAAGCCGCATACTTAGCTAAAAYTATTTATGAACGAAGTTTATGTATGAAATATAAAATTATAAGAAGAGAAGCAGAGCAGCATAAATTGAATTAAAAAATAATATAATGCATATATTTTACTCGGTAAAGTATTTTCACTGAACCGAATATTGCTATTCTACTTACTATTGTCTGTTATAATATCAGGAAAAAGAGAAGGATTCGTAATTACTCTACATTCTTAGATTGAAATCAAAAAATAATCATCGAATAGTCAAGGTATAAAAAAAAATCGCACAGCATGTTATCCAGTTTATTCATTTCTAACCTAAATTGATGATCACTATAAAGAAAAAATGAAACGGATTAAAACTAATAAATAATAATACATACCTCAGTTAACCTTAAAAAACTAATTAAAAAAAATACATACCTCAATTAACCTCAAAAAAGACTTTTATTACTAATTTTCTCAAATAATCAATGTTTTTGAAGATATTTTTGAAGATATTCAGTTTATCTAATATCAATCACAACCATATGTAATAATTATAATAAACYAGTGGAAGAATAGAACGAGTATCTTTGTTAATATTTATTTCGATATTCTCCATATTCTCGCAAAGATTATATAATGCGGAAAGAGATATTTTAGTAGATGTGAATGTTTCTGCAGCGGATGCTCAACGTGCCTCCACAGGTAAATATAATTATATGAAATAAGTTTAAAAAAATTAATTACAGCTTATAATCAWTACAAATATATGCATTTTTCCTTGAGTACCAACAACATAACCTATTGTTATGAATGAAAACTAAGTTAGCCGACATTTAGAAATTTTTGATTTTTTTTATTGAAAAAATTATGACAAGTATTCAAAATTTCTTTCATGAAAATTTTATTTTTATTATAGATACAGTATTTGCGAYGCAACTTTTGAACAAATGTTTAAATGAACAACTGCAAACATCAACGTCCGCTGATCTTGCTGATGACAACGTTCAATTAACTGATGAAAGCACTTTTATTRATGAAGAATTCCTCAGTACAGAGGATACTGCTTATTCCAACTCCGAAACTCAAGACAGTGAAGGTATTCATAAACAATTATCAGGCGTATAATTATCTTAATTATTATATATAGTATGTGACGGAGTTAATTAATTTTGTAATTGCATTTGTTCACATTTCAGCTTCTTTATACAGGTGGAGTACTCCTTGTGTGTTGTTATTATTAGAGTCCTATAGGTCAATGGAAAAAGACTTTAATAGCGGAAAAATATCTCAAAAGAAAATTTGGGAAAAAGTTGCCGAAGAGTTAAAGGTAAAAGGACATAATGTGACTGGACCACAATGTTCTTCTAAGCTACGAAGCTTAAAAAAGTCTTACAAATCTATCAAAGATCATAATAGTAAATCGGGAAATGACAGAAGGATTTGGCAATTTTTTGACGTTTGTATAAATTCTATATTATTTTTCTTAACTTCAACATTAAGCGAATTTTTTTATAATAATATAGACAATATTTTTCTAAAATAATCGTAATGTATCATAAATTTTTATCAGATAATGGAAGAAATTTTTTCGAAAAAAGCTTGGTGTGATCCAGTGGCCATTGCATCTTCTACAGGTCTATCAAAAAAAACAATTAGAAAGCAATGATAGTATGGGAGGATCTGATAGCGGATGTTCAATAAGTAAGTTAACTCCGTCTGAAAACTTTATTTCACTAAAGTATCGTAAAAAATGGAATTTAATTTCAGAATCAAAGAGAACACCAATTGCCACTTTACTAGGAAAGAGGCTCAAGCAAAAAGAAGAACATGAACTACAAAAAAGTAAAAGACATAAAGAGCGAATGGAGATGGATGAAAAACTCCTCAACGTTTTAGAAAAGTTAGCTAATAAATAGTGAAATATTTAAGTATTATTTAAAAATTAGTTTTGATAGTTTYAAATTTTATAAAAATGTTTTAAACTTTAAATAGTGAAATATTTAAATATTCTTTAAARATAAGTTTTAATAATTTTAAATTTTATAGAAAAAARTGTTTAACTATTAMATTSTACGTACAAATTAGCTTATAATCTTTTTATAATAGTWTAGTATTTTTTTTAATAAACCAACAAGTGCATTTCATGTTTTTATAATTAATAAAGTTTAATTTTTAGGAATTTTGATTTTGTACAATTCTTGTAGTATATTACA